ATTCCAACCTCATTCTTCAATGATCTAGAGCAAGCAATCCAAAAATTCATATGGAATAATAAGGCCCCGAATAGCAAAAACAATCCTTAGCAGGAACAACAGTTATTGGAGGACTATCAATACCAAATTTCAAACTTTACTACAAATTCATAGTAATCAAAACAGCTTGGTACTGGCACATAAACAAGCCCAGAGATCGAAGGGATAGACTTGAAGACCCAGAAATGAACCTACAGACCTATGGCCACATAGTCTTTGATAAGGGAGCTAAACACAGGATGGAAGAAAGACAGACTCTTCAACACATGGTGTTGACAGAATTGGCTATACACATGTAGAAAATTGATGTTAGATCCTTATATATCACCCTGCACCAGAATCAAATCCAAATGGATCAAAGACCTCACTGTAAGATCAGATACCCTTAAAATATTACAGGAAGGGATAGGGGAAACACTAGGGCTCCTTGTACAGATCAAAACTTTCTAAATAAAGATCCAGAAACACAACAAATCAAATAAAGTCTGGATAAATGGGAGTGCATTAAACTGCACATCTTCTGTATGGCAAAAGACATAGCTGGCAAGATAAATAGAAAGTCATCAGAATGGGAGATCTTTACTAGCTATACAACAGTCAAAGGCCTCATATTTAAAAATATACTTAGAACTCAAAAAATTAAACCTCCCAAAAGCAAATCTTCAAAGAAACAACCCATTAACAAGTGGGCTTAAGACTTAAAGAAACCTTTCTCTGATGAAGAAATAAGAATGGCCAATAGACACTGAAGAAATGTTCAATATCTCTGACCATAAAAGAAATGAAAATCAAAACAACACTGAGATTCTACCTCACCCCAACTAGAATGGCCATTACCAAGAAAACTAAAAATAACAGATGCTGACAGGGATATGGTCAAAAGGGAACACTATTACACTGTTGGTAGGAATGTAAACGTATTCAACCATTCTGGAAAGCAGTATGGAGGTCCCTCAAAATACTAAACATAGAGCTTCCCTATGAACTAGCAATTCCACTCCTGGGCATATATCCAATAGATCACAAACAATACACACTAAATCTACAGCACAGCCATGTTCATAACTAGGTTTGTATTATGTAACTGAAAAATAAAAGGAATATTTAGTATAGATATTTTGAAAGATTTAGGAGCCAGAGTGATTTCAAAATATCTATAAAAATCAGAGCCATTAATTTAGTAAAAGTAAGCAAACTATAAAAATTTATCAATTTCTATAGAATTATATTGTAAATCATTCAAGAATGTTTTCATGGACTTTAATAAGGACATAAATGGTATTTTTCAGATATGCAGCTAATATAAAGTTATTGAACATAATGGAAAAGACAAAAATCTGGGTTCAAGAAGATTTCACTAGACCAAAGAGGTAGATAGAATTTAAAGAGATAGGATTAAATAAAAAAATTAAAAAGTAGAATCCTGAGTTGTAAAAGTTAGCCCCAGCTTTACTTATATACTCCCAAATTTGCCATAGTGGTTGGAACATAAGAAGGTTTCAATTTCTATTTACTCAAGAAATAAATTGTTAAGAGCATATGGGCAACAACATGTCTTTACATGTCTTAATTGCACTTTGAAGCTGGGTAGAGATGGCTTATGCTTATAATCCTACTACTCAGAAGGGTGAGATCTGAGAATCACAGTTCAAAGCCAGCTTGGGCAGATAAGTCCTTGAGACTCTTATATCCAAGTATGTACCAAAAAAATCCAGAAGTGAAGCTGTGGCTCAAGTGGTAGAGCACTAGCCTTAAGGGGGCAAAAAAGCTCAGGGACAACGCCCAGGCCCTGAATTCAAGCCCAGGACCAGCACGTGTGTGGGCGCACACACGCGCACACACACACACACACACACACACACACACACACACACAGAGATACACACACAAATACCACTTTGAACAATGATGTTTCAGGAATGTAGCTCACTATAATTGAATATAAATTTATGCTGTTATATGACTGGCAAAAATAAAACAGAGATTGAGAAGATAAATTTATGAAAGGATGTGCCCAAACCAAAGAGGATGTCACTCTACTTGGTAAGAAAAGATGACATGTGGAATATAGCACTCAAGTATGTGCCCACATTCTAGTGGGGATTTAGATATACTAGGATATAGTTACAGTCATATAATCAGAAAGCAGTGAATGGATCAGAAAAAAATACACATGAATAGTTGATGAAACTGGCCATGCTTAGTCTAGAGAGGAGGAATTTCAAAATGAAACATGCTTTTAAATGCCTTAAAGAACTTTCACTGGGAGATTTCCGGGAAGATGGTTAGAACAGCTATAATGAAGAACTCTAATAACAACAGATGCTGGAGGGGATATGGACAGAAGGGAACCCTACTGCATTGTTGGTGGGAGTGTAAACTTGTTCAACCACTTTGGAAAGTAGTATGCAGGTTCCTCAAAAGACTCCACATAGAGCTCCCCTATGACCCAGAAATCCCACTTTTGGGCATTTACCCAAATGATCCCAAACAAGACCATGCTAAAGCTACCAGCACAACTATGTTTACCATAGCTAAGATATGGAACCAACCCAGATGCCCCTCAGTAGATGAATGGATCAAGAACATGTGGTATATATACACAATGGAATTCTATACCTCCATCAGAAAGAATGACATTACCCCATTTGTTAGGAAATGGAATGACTTGGAAAAAAGGCCCAAAGAAACGTAGGCCCCATGGTTTCCCTTATTTGCAACAACTAGTATATGTCTGAGACAAACAGAACTAGTATATGTCTGAGACAAACAGAAACTGTCAAACAAATTGATGTTAGGCAAAATGAACCCCAAGATAAGGATTCAAATTTTTTTCTTTCTTGCGATTGTTTCCAACATATTTATAAGATGATTTCTTTGTTGCTTTGTATGTACCTCCCCCAGGGTATAAGCCCTGCTTTCACTGTATTTGATGTTGATATAATTTGTGGAGGGGAAGGGAAAAAACAAACGGTTTAAATAGGGTTACAGGTGGACCCATTATAACAATTAGATGTACAAGACATTATGTCGAAAAACAAACTTTACAACTTTGGCGGGGTGGGGAGTTGGGGAGTGGGGGGTGGTGGTAGGGAGGTGTGGGGGGTCGAGAGGGGAAGGGATGGTATGGAGAAACAAGGGAGGAGGCAACAATACTTGATAAGAAATATAGTCACTATCTTGCCCATAGAATTGTAACCCCTCTGTATGGTATTTTCACAATAAAAAAAAAGAACTTTCACTGAGGAAAAGGAGCAAGGTTTGTTGTGTGTCATCTTACACCTTTGGTGAGAATTATAAAAGAAACAGACTATGAATCCACAAAAGATAGATCTTTTTAGCCAGGCGCTGGCAGATCAAACCTATAGTGCTAGATAGCCAAGAGGCTGAGATCTAAGGATCAAGGTTTGAAGCCAGTCTGGGAAGCAAAGTCCTTAAGACTCTTATCTCAAATTAATTATCCAGAAAAAGCTGGAAGTGGTGCTGTGGCTCAATGGTAAAGCCCTAGCCTTATACAAAAAAATAATTTAAAAAGCTCAAGGAGGGCTGGGAAGTTGGCTCAGTGGTAGAGCGCTTGCCTTGCATGCTCGAGGCCCTGGGTTCGATTCCTCAGCACCACATAAGCAAAAAGAAAAAAGCCGGAAGTGGCACTGTGGCTCAAGTGGTAGAGCGCTAGCCTTGAGCTGAAGAGCTGAGGGACAGCGCCCAGGCTCAGAATTCAGGCCCCATATTTACCCAAATGACCACAAACAAGGCCACACTAAAGCTACCAGCACAACTATGTTTATTGCAGCATTATTTACCATAGCTAAGCTATGGAACCAACCCAGATGCCCCTCAGTAGATGAATGGATCAAGAAGATGTGGTATATATACACAATGGAATTCTATGCCTCCATCAGAAAGAATGACATTGCCCCATTTGTTAGGAAATGGAAAGGCTTGGAAAAAATTATATTAAGTGAAGTAAGCCAGGCCCAAAGAAACATAGGCCCCATGGTTTCCCTTATTTGCAATATCTAGTATAGGTATGAGTCAAGCGGAAAAAGTCAGAGAATGTGATGTTAGGAAAACGAACCCTCAAATATGTATTTTAATGTTTTTGTTTCATTCATGCATGTGTTTCTAACGCATTTATAATATTATTTCTTTGTTGCTTTGTATGTCCCTCCCCCACAGTGTAACCCCCGCTTTCACTATATTTGATGTCAGTATAACATGTGGAGGAGACGGGGACAAACAAGTCGTTTAAGGATTCAGGTGGACCTGTTGCAACAATGAGAAGTACAAAATGTCATGTCCAAACCAGCTTTACAATGTCGGTGGGGGGGAGGGAGGGGGGGTATGATTGGGTGGGGGGGAGGGGGGAGGGTGGGAAGGGAGGTGAAGGGTAAACAAAGGAGGAGGCTGCAATGCTTGGTAAGAAATGTATGCATTTTCCTGCCCATGTAATTGTAACCCCTCTGTACAGTATGTTTTCAAATAAAATAAAATAAAATAAATAAATAAATAAATAAATAAATAAAAAGAATTCAGGCCCCATGACTGGACCTCAAAAAAAAAAAAAAAAGCTCAAGGACAATACCCAAACCATTAGCCATTAGTTACATCCCTGGAGTCATCTCTCTCTCTCTCTCTCTCTCTCTCTCTCTCTCTCTCTCTCGCCCTTGCTTTCTCTCATACACACACACACACACACACACACACACACACACACACAATAGATATGCCTATCTACTAATTAGCACTGTCTGTAAAAATGATACAAAATGCTAAAGTCTTTGTTTTGGGAAGAGATCAATTAGTATCTAGATGATCATTTGTATAGGGCTTTACACAGGGAGTTTATAGACCATTTACTATAGAGTAGGTTTGGGTGACATAAGCTCCATTTCATCTGTCTGTTTTCTTTGCAAGTCACAAAATCTTAAATTCAGCTATGTTAATGTGTCTTTCCATACCTTTAAGATGTTCTTCCTTATTCTAACTTCCTTCCACTGGAAAGATTTTCTTTTGGGGTAGTCTTCATCACTGATTGAAAATGTTTCAGTTCCTCAGGTCAGTAAACAAAAGAAGGGCTTGGTGAACAAAACCTACAATAAATATCATCAGTTGAAGAGGAACAGGAAAAGCTGTTTTCAAATCATCTGATTGTTCAATTGATACACTTTGGGTGTGGGGGGTTGATCCCAGGGTTTTGTGCGTGCTAGACAAGTGCTCTATCACAGAGTTACACCTCATCCCTTGATACACTTTCATTTAGATCATCTACCAGAATTGTGGATCTAACAGAAAATGTCTATTAATGACTACCCTAAATCTTATTTGAATGCAACTTATACTGTTTAATGTCTTCTTGTAAAAAAGTTGCTTAGTGGCAAGATCTTAGCATTTAGTTTGAAAAAAGAGAGCTGCCCATTGTGATTGCAACTGGTATCATCAGCGAGGGACACAAATTAGTTAGGTGCTCTATAAATATGGCATAAATAAATGCCTTTGTTGTTCTACCATTTGAGGGCCTAAGTTGTAATCTAAATTAAGAAAATTATTTGTGATGGTCCATCTATTCTTCCCTGAAGAAGAAGAAGAAACCTAAATGCCTTCATAGTAAACAAGCTAGAGACTGAAAGACATCCTTTATAAGTGTGTTTAAACATCACAAGAGAATTCCAAGGAAGGATAGTGTCTAGTCTATTGGTTCAGTAGCTAATTATACAAATCCAAGCTTAAAGTAGCATTTTTTCTGAAGTTTTCAAATCTTAGCGCATAGGATATAGATGCAAACAAAATTATGAGAGTGAGAATTCAATGAGAAAGAGATTGCATAATGGTTTGGGCTGGTTAAGGAGTCAGAAACCATACTACCTTAAGTGGGATTTTTAATAGAAGATTCTTCTGTCTCTGTCTCTCTCTCCCTCTTTCCTCCCTCCTTCTCATCATTTTCTTTAAACAATTGTATAAAGGGAGTTCAATTTAATGTGTCCATTAATGTGTATAATGCATTTCCCCATTCACCAATCTATCCATTGAACATTGAGTATTGTGACTATATTAACCCTGAGAAAAAGCATTAGAGAAGGCCTTTTTATTAACATGGGGTCTTATGTTACCAAGGCTAACCTTAAATTCCTGGGTTTAAGTCATGTCCCCTCCTCAACCTCCTAAGGATCAGGGATCACATGTATATGCAACTGTGTTGAGCTCTACAACAAATCTTAACAGATAGGCGACCTCTTTGTAGAGATGGAAGGAATGACATAATAAATTTTAAAATGTAAATAAAGACACAAAATCAGGAAGACTTAGGTAGAATCAACTAAATAGCAAGTGGATCAATTTGTATAAAAGGGAGGACTAGAGATGAAAGTGATGAATACGCAGAGAAAGGGGCACTTTTTAGAGCACAGCAGCTCTGAAGCAAGAGTAGGCTAAGGAATCAGAACGTTATTCTGTAGGTAACTGGAAGGCATGGAAGAATTTTGAATCACATAATATTATGAGCAGAAGTATTTTTAGGAAGATTAGTCTAGATGAACCTCATCCAGTTCCAACCACTCTGTTGAAGAAAGTAGTATTAGCAGTAATAGAAAACCCATTATTGAACTTTTTACTCCGATTATTTTTAGGTCAGTGATTCCCAGCAGAGACTAAACGGACCAAGGTGCAGGTTTCTCTTCTCTTGGTAGTAACTTTGAGAGAAGGTAAGGTGATTCATGAGAATTATATTGCAAACATGAATTGCTTGGGCAATGACCTTTCCTCCTCCATGTCACTAAAATAATACTACAACATGTTATTTAGACTGTGAAGGTTTACCTAAGGGTGATTTACTTACGAGTCATACAGAGTAATAGAAAAATAAGGACATTTCTATGGGAATATGTTAGACCCTCATAGGCAAAACTGTTCTTTGAGGACCAGTAACATCAGTATAACTTGAGAACTTGTTTGAAGTGAATAATCTTGATATAGACCATTTGTAGGGGATAGGAAGGGAACTGGGGTTTGAACTCAGGGCCTAGGCACTGTCTCTGAGATTTTTGGTTCAAGGCTAGCACTTTCACTTGAGCCACAGATTACTCTGTGGATAATTCCCTAAGAGAACAATGACCCAATCCCGGTAAATGGGATTGAATAAAGGCAGAAGGAAGTGAAAAAAAGAATCTTGAGCTGTGTACCCCAGGCTACTTAATCATAATTCAAATTTTTAAAGGAACCCTACATTATTCCTTTGGACCTTAAACTTCAGAGATGTACTTAATTTTAAATCCTGGCACTGAGTCACTTCACTTTTGAAGGGATTACTGTTCAGGTGAATAATAAATAATAAGGGTTGGAGGCATGGGTCACTTGATACAGTGCTAGCCAATGATCAAGAGCAGATGCAAGTACCTGTTAATAGGATGGCAAATCATTTAAGATTCTGACTTCATTGTCTGTGTGGTTGAAATAAAGTACAAGCTACCAAATGAGCTGTTCCTAGGATTGACAATTATGGTTTATGTGAAATGTGTACATGTTTTACATAGGAACCAGAAGCTTAGTATTTTCTAGTTCAATTTCAACCACAACTTTGTAGACTATCACATATAACTCCTGAGAATAATAATTAATACATATACACGTGCTTTTTTCTGGAACATTTGAGAGCATATTTAAGGATATCACAGTTTACTTCTAAATACTTTAGCCTCTATTTCTTTCTTTTTTCTTTCTTTTTTTTTTTGTTGGTCATGGGGCTTGAACTCTGGGCCTGAGCACTGTTCTTCAGCTCTTCAGCTCAAGGCGAGTGCTCTACCACTTGAGCTACAGCTACAGCGCCACTTCCTAGCCTCTATTTCTTACAACCAAATTTTCCTATATAATAACAAAACAATTATTACTCAGAGAACATAAGAGATGCCACAGCAATTTTCATTAATTGTCTACACTATTACTTTTTTTGTGGTCCTGTGGTTTGAAATCAGGTCCTCTTACTTGTTTGGCTGGTGTTCTACCACTTGAACCACACCTCCAGTCCAGCTTTTGTTGTATTATGGTTTTTTTAAGATGGAGTCTCAAAAACTTTTCTATCAGGCTTGGCCTTGAACTGAAAGATTTCAGTCACCTGAATGGAGAAGATTACAGATGTGAGCTACCAACACCTGAGCATATTATCTTTTCTAGTTGTTTTGATTTGGTGTTGCTTTTTTAATTTCAGGAGCAAAGATTTTACATTATATTTAGCTATCACATCCCTTTACTCTCAATTGTTTTGAATCCTTTTGTAGCCTTGTTTTGGATGGCTTCCACTTAAGATTCTATACTAATTTTTGTGTAACATTTCTTTTCTTTCTTCCTTTCTTTCTTTCTTTCTTTATTATTTTTTTTTTTTTGCTAGTCCTGGGGCTTGAACTCAGGACCTGGGCATTGTCCATGAACTTCTTTTGCTCAAGGCTATCACTCTACCACTTGAGCCACTGCACACCACTTCTGGCTTTTTCTGTTTATGTGATACTAAGGAATCAAACCCAGGGCTTCATGAATGGGGGGCAAGCACTCTACCACTAAGCCACATTCCCAGACCCATGTGTAACATTTCTTAATATTCATCTAGTTGCTTTCTCATAAGTAGAGTTAAATTATGCATTTTAAACAAAAATTCCATGTGGATGATCCTGTGTCCTTTAGAATCACCTAGATATGGTGCTGGTGCAAAGCAGGAGACAGAGTCAGGAAGATCACACATTTGAGGCCAGCCTGGGTTACACAGTGAGAAGGATTTATTATGTCAAAATAATTTTTCTATCCCTATGTTATTCTTCATTTTTATAAAAGTGTACTATACTTTTTAAAATACTTTTCTGCATCTATGGAGATGACTGTGTGGATTTTTGCTTCATTTTGTTAGTAGGATGTATCACACTTAGTGACTTTCATATGTTGAACTATCCTTAAATCCCAGGAATAAATTTTTCTTGTTCATAGAGTATAATACTCTTAGTATTCTGTTGAATTCTACTTAGTAATATTTTGGTGAGGATTTCTGCATCAATAGAGAGAGAAATATACATCTCTTGTTTTCTTTTCTTGTAGTGTCTTGTTTCCTGTTCATACCAGGGTAATGCTGGCCTCACAATACAAGTTTTTGGAAGTCTTTCGACCTTTTCTACTTTTTGGAAGAACTTGAGAATTGGCATTAATTATTCTTTAAATGTTTGACCAAATTCACTCATGAACCCTTGTGGTTCTATGGTTTACTTTGTTGGGAACTTTTTGCTACTACAGTTCTATTTATAAATCTTTTCATTTCTTCATGATCCAGTTTGGAGAAGTTGAGCATTTCTTGAATTTTACCTAAGATTTCTTCTAGGTTATCCAACTTAATTGCATACAATTATTCCTATTATTCTCATATAATTCTTTTTGTTTATTTTTGTACTAGTACTGGGGTTTGAACACAAAGTTTGGCACTCTTGCCCAAAGGTTGGTGTTCTAACAACTGAGCTACAGCTCCAATTCCAGCTTTTGCTAGTTAATTGGAGAAACCAGTCTCTAGGACTTTTCTGTTGGAGCTGGCTTCACACCAAGGTCATCAGATCTCAGCCTCCTGAGTAGCTAGTATTATAAGCATGAGCCATCAGCACCCATCTACAATGCTTTTTATTTTTATAGAGTCAATAATATCTCTTCTTTGTGATTTTCAGTTATTTCAGTTTTCTCTTGTGTCTCCATCAGTCTACCTAAAGATCTGTTAATTTTGTTGGTCTTAATGTATTTCCTCTATTATTTTTCTTGATTCTATTTTGCTTATCTTTCTTATCTTTAGCATTTCCTTCCTTCAGATAGCTCTGGGTTTGCTTTGTTCTTATTCTCATTCGATAAGGCATAAAAATGCATTCTTGATGTGTGGTCATTGTCTCTCAATGTAAACATTTACAAATAAATTTCCCTTTTAGCACTGCTTTCACCATCTCTCATTAGTTTTGGCAAATTGTGGTTTCATTTTCATTGGTCTTAAGATATTTTCTATTTACTCAGTTAACTTCCACAAAGACCCATCTCTTTGTCAGTACACAGGCAGTTTAGAAAGTTGAAAATTTGATCCACTCTG